AATGTGAGGAGAGGAGAGGATGTGAGAGAGAGGAGAGGATGTGAGGAGAGGAGGAGGAGGAGGAGAGGATGTGAGGAGAGAGAGGGATGCGAGGAGAGGACGTGAGGAGAGGAGAGGAGTGAGGGAGGAGAGGATGTGGGAGAGGAGAGGATGTGAGGAGAGGACGTGAGGAGAGGAGAGGATGTGAGGAGAGGGAGGATGTGAGGAGAGGAGAGGATGCGAGGAGAGGAGAGGATGTGAGGAGAGGAGGAGGACGCGAGGAGAGGAGAGGATGTGAGGAGAGGAGAGGATGGGAGGAGGGCGTGAGGAGAGGAGAGGATGTGAGGAGGAGGAGAGGATGCGAGGGAGAGGATGTGAGGAGGAGAGGATGCGAGGAGAGGAGAGGACGCGAGGAGAGGATGTGAGGAGAGGAGAGGATGTGAGGAGAGGAGAGGACGTGAGGAGAGGAGAGGACGTGAGGAGAGGAGAGGACGCGAGGAGAGGATGTGAGGAGAGGAGAGGACGCGAGGAGAGGACGTGAGGAGAGGACGCGAGGAGAGGCGTGAGGAGAGGAGCGAGGAGAGGAGAGGACGCGAGGAGAGGAGAGGACATGAGGAGAGGACGTGAGGAGAGGAGAGTTTTTAAGAAGATTTTTAACCATCTGGTCTTTTTAAGATGAATAAAGGAGGAAACAGCTGTTTCTGGCTGCAAATCAAAAACAGAGTGTGTGTGTGTGTGTGTGTGTGTGTGTGAGTGTGTGTGTGTGTCTTGGCAGCGGCAGAAAGCACCACAGAAGAAGAAGAAGTTGCCAAACCTCCAGCGTGTCTCAGATCAGAATCTGACCACTTTTATTGGATCCCTCCATCAAACCACATGTGGACAGTAAAACGCTGGAGGAGCTGCAGTTCGGGGCCTCGTGTGTAAACACTGGCAAAAATACTACAAAAATACTACAAAAATACTACAGTACTACTGACACGACTTCGTGCTGCTGCCTCACAGGCGTAGCTGAGATATCTTCTTCTTCTTCTGATCGTTTGTTGTAGCAGCCAGAGAGTCTGCTGTCACACTTTGTTCACTGTGTTCGAAACGGAAGGTCGCGGCCTCGATACCGTAACGGACAGCTGCCTCTGAAGGCGTCACGTTCAAATGAAGGCAGCGCCGTTTACATGAGTTTCAAACAGGCTTCTAGGGCAGCACTTACAGCAACGTGTGACATCAGCACGCCGTTGTGCGTCTCTTCTGGCTGTCAGAAGAGACGCTAGCCTTAGCATCAGCTAACTAGCTATTGAAAAGCCAAACTGGCTGATATGATAGTTCAGTGTTTAATTCTCGCTAGATTTTCAAAAATCGAAGCGAGAAAACTACTAAAAACCTTTAAAAACGTATATTTGTGTACAAATTGGGCTCGTTTGCCCGGCATCTTGACCAGTTTTTGAAAGCTCCGGCGGCCGCAGACGCGCTGCTTTATGGGTAATAGTCAGCATCAAGTCATCATTGATCAGAAGGAGCTTTATTGCCTAGTAGAGGAATCTGCTTTAGTGATGAGGTGCTACACGCAGACAAACATACAGCTGACATAAATAAATGTAGAAATATATATATATATATAATACGGAATAACAGATGCAAGTTATATAAGAATAATAAAGAACAGAGAAAAATAACTTGCAGAGAAAGAACAACGTGGCAGATATTTCCATGTGCATTACTGTGGTTTGTGTTGTGCAGACGTGTTACAGCAGAGAGAGTATTGTGAACATAAATATATAAATTGACAATTTAAAAATATAGAACAACAAAGATTAACAACAAATATGTGCAGTGTGCAGGTTTGTGCTGATATGAAATGAAATAATATTAACATGTGCAGAGACATTTGTATAATTTGAAAGGGGGGAGAGTCAGTGGGAGACCTGGTTCTTGCTGATGAGGCTGCAGACAGGAAGAAGCTGTTTTTGTGGCGAGAGGTTTTGGTCCTGATGGACCGCAGCCTCCTGCCAGAGGGGAGAGTCTGAAACAGTTTGTGTCCGGGGTGGGAGGAGTCAGCTGCAATCTTTCCTGCTCGTCCTCAGAGTCCTGGAGGCGTACAGGTCCTGGAGGGGTTCAGGTCCTGTAGGGGTTCAGGTCCTGGAGGCGTACAGGTCCTGGAGGGGTTCAGGTCCTGGAGGCGTACAGGTCCTGGAGGGGTTCAGGTCCTGGAGGGGTTCAGGTCCTGGAGGCGTACAGGTCCTGTAGGGGTTCAGGTCCTGTAGGGGTTCAGGTCCTGGAGGCGTACAGGTCCTGTAGGGGTTCAGGTCCTGGAGGGGTTCAGGTCCTGGAGGCGTACAGGTCCTGTAGGGGTTCAGGTCCTGGAGGGGTTCAGGTCCTGTAGGGGTTCAGGTCCTGGAGGCGTACAGGTCCTGTAGGGGTTCAGGTCCTGGAGGGGTTCAGGTCCTGGAGGCGTACAGGTCCAGAAGAGAAGGAAGATTGCAGCCAATCACCTTCTCTGCAGAGCGAATGATGCGCTGCAGCCTGCCCTTGTCCCTGGCAGTGGCAGCAGCGTACCAGATGGTGATGGAGGAGGTGAGGATGGAGTCAATGATGGAGGTGTAGAAGTGCACCATCATTGTCTTTGGCAGGCTGAACTTCTTCAGCTGTCGCAGGAAGTTCATCCTCTGCTGGGCCTTCTTGGTGAGGGAGGTGATGTTCAGCTCCCACTTGAGGTCCTGGGAGATGATGGTGCCCAGGAAGCAGAAGGAGTCCACAGTGGTGACTGGAGAGTCACACGGGATGATGGGGGAGGGTGGGGCTGGGCTCTTCCTGAAGTCCACGACCATCTCCACGGTCTTCAGAGCGTTGAGCTCCAGACTGTTCTGGCTGCACCAGGTCATCAGATGGTCGATCTCCCACCTGTAGGAGGACTCATCCCCACCTGAGATGAGCCCAATGAGGGTGGTGTCATCTGCAAACTTCAGGAGCTTGACGGACTGGTGACTGGAGGTGCAGCTGTTGGTATACAGGGAGAAGAGAAGGGGGGAAAGAACGCAGCCCTGAGGTGAACCAGTGCTGATGGTCCTGGAGTCAGAGACATGTTTTCCCAGCTTCACGTGCTGCTTCCTGTCCATCAGGAAGTCAGTGATCCACCTGCAGGTGGAGTCAGGCACGCTCAGTTTCGGGATGATGGTGTTGAAAGCAGAGCTGAAATCCACAAACAGGATCCTGGCGTAGGTTCCTGGGGAGTCCAGGTGCTGGAGGATGTAGTGAAGCTCCATGTTTACTGCATCATCGACAGACCTGCTGGCTCTGTAGGTGAACTGCAGGGGGTCCAGGAGTGGGTCTGTGATGGATTTAAGGTGGGACAACAACAAGGTGTTAAAAGGACTTCATAACCGCAGAGGTCAGGGCGACGGGTCTGAAGTGGTTTTAACACTCACCAAGCGGTCAGTGAGAGCCTCGAACTGAGTCCTGAGTCTGAACTCTGCTGCTGCTGGATCATTCAGGGGACAGCTGGACTGAATGTGATCCAGGAGACCATGTGACTGTAGAGAGCCCAGTTTCACGAACCCCTAAAGGCAAAACGAGGCTGAGACTGAAGTTTTATTTAGAATTTAAATCAGAGACAACAAATCAGATTCTGTTTACTGAGAGACCAGGGCCCACTTGTTCAAAAAGTTTAATCTGGATCAGAATGATCCGGATTTGGAAATCCCATGTTTTGCTATCCCAGATCACGTAACCCATCTTACTTTTGTACCGGTTTTTCAAAGCAACATTGGATCCAGATCCAGACTTTCAGGATTTCCAGCGCTCCAGAGCACATGACACAACGTTAACGATACGAAGACCACCAGGTGGATCGGCCAGCGGGGGGTCAGACAGAAAATGTACAATAAAACAAGACAAGCAGACTGAGGTGCTGGACCAAACTGCTTCTGACTGGTTCTCATCATCCTTTCTTTGTAATGAAGGTGCATTTGATAAGTGATTAAATGCATTATTTCTGTTTGATTATTTTACGTAATGTCGACTTTATCTGCTTCATCACAGCAAAGTTTAAACAAATCAAGTGCAAACATAAATAACTGCGTCAGGGACGTGCACAGGGGGTTGCTCTGGTTGCCCGGGCAACTGCCCGTTTGCCTTTCCTGACTCAAGTTGCCCTTCCGACTCGCCCTTCCGAGAGAAAAAAATAAAATAAAAAAATAATCGCGATCGCAAAGCCTCATTCACTTCCATTCGGGCACCGAAAGTGAAAGTCAGCAGGGGAAGGGCAAACTCTGTTTAAGTGGCTGCACTGCTGCAGCGCTGCCTGCACGTCAGTTGATTCTGTTCCCTACCGGAATTCCTGTTTCCTTCCTTTATGCAATCACTACAACAAATCATGCGTAGTTTTGCCCAGTTACCATACGTGATACGTACCAACAGAAGTGAATACGAGCTAGAAGCGCAACTGAATGTACGGGAAGCCAAAAGGTTAAAAAAGGATTGTATTTTTTTCCGAAATCTAAGCGTTTTTTAATTTAATATTTTATTAGAAGCGAGTTTTCCCCATCTGTCAATTCAATCTAGATTATTTATTTTCAAATAAAAAAAAAAGGAAAAAAAAATAATAATAATAATGATTAAAAAAAACAATAAACAATAATATAAGGAACTCTTTTTCTCATATGTATTTTGGTGACATTTATATTGTTAATACATTTTGGATACTGTGTTTAGTGCCTTTTTTCAGGTCAGAGCAACTGCCCTTCAAAATTCCTGTGCACGTCCCTGATGCGTATGTAGGCTGCTACATGTTCCTGGATCCGGCCTTCTGCTGGGACCAGGATAATCCAGGTGTTTTCCAGTCCTACTGAAAAGGTCTGATCCAGATCACAGCCAGGACTGGATCAGGTGATCCGGTCCGATTTCAGAATCAATCAACAACCCATTTTACTGACCCTTCAGTCACGTGGTGACAACATGTTTATTTACTTCTTCTCTGGTGTTTTACTTGTTTAAGTTATAGTGATGGATCAGGGATCAGGGATCAGGGATCAGGGATCAGTGACCGAGAGAGACGAGGAGAGACGGTCCCTGTCACGTGACTCTGTGTTTCCCTGTTAACAACATGGCTGCCGAGGATCTGCCGTCTGAATTTGACATCGTCATTCTGGGCACAGGTACAGAAACACCTGCTTTTTGTTAGAGGCTGTGATCCGGGTCAGGTGTCTGAAGGGGTCTCTGTCCGCCCGGATCGGTATCCGGTCCCTAACATCCCGGAATACCGATTGATCCGGTCCGATCCGGGAACACAGGCTGGGGTTAGCATGGGCGTTAGCAAGCGGCTAACGGTCAATTCATTTTGAATGACAGCGGCTAGCAGCTAACGGCCGGGCTGCTGCGTTAGCTCCTGTAAACAAACTGCTGTTACTGTTAGCAGCGGAGCTAACCGGGCTAACGCTAGCTGCGCTAGTTTCTATATAATGTCGGAGCCCGATGCTAACAGGCTAACAGGGCGAGCTGTGCTGCTAGCTGGTCCCGTGTGTCATCAGGTGACTCAGCTCCTGATTGGTGGACAGCAGAGTGAACAAACTTTATGTGTAGTGTTTTTTACAGACAAACAACCTTCAGTACACAGTTATGTACTTCTTACTGCGTACTGAGCCTCAGTACATTACTGCGTACTGAGCCTGTACATTACTGTGTACTGAGCCTGTACATTACTGCGTACTGCGTACTTAGCCTGTACATTACTGTGTACTGCGTACTGTGTACTGCGTACTGAGCCTGTATATTACTGTGTACTGCGTACTGAGCCTGTACATTACTGCGTACTGTGTACTGAGCCTGTACATTACTGCGTACTGCGTACTGAGCCTGTACATTACTGTGTACTGAGCCTGTACATTACTGTGTACTGAGCCTGTACATTACTGTGTACTGAGCCTGTACATTACTGTGTACTGCGTACTGAGCCTGTACATTACTGTGTACTGAGCCTGTACATTACTGTGTACTGTGTACTGAGCCTGTACATTACTGTGTACTGCGTACTGAGCCTGTACATTACTGTGTACTGAGCCTGTACATTACTGTGTACTGAGCCTGTACATTACTTTGTACTGCATACTGAGCCTGTACATTACTATGTACTGAGCCTGTACATTACTGTGTACTGCATACTGAGCCTGTACATTACTGCGTACTGCGTACTGAGCCTGTACATTACTTTGTACTGCATACTGAGCCTGTACATTACTGCGTACTGCGTACTGAGCCTGTACATTACTATGTACTGAGCCTGTACATTACTGTGTACTGAGCCTGTACATTACTGTGTACTGCGTACTTAGCCTGTACATTACTATGTACTGCGTACTTAGCCTGTACATTACTATGTACTGCGTACTGAGCCTGTACATTACTGTGTACTGCGTACTGAGCCTGTACATTACTGTGTACTGAGCCTGTACATTACTGTGTACTGAGCCTGTACATTACTGTGTACTGTGTACTGAGCCTGTACATTACTGTGTACTGTGTACTGAGCCTGTACATTACTGTGTACTGCGTACTGAGCCTGTACATTACTGTGTACTGAGCCTGTACATTACTGTGTACTGTGTACTGAGCCTGTACATTACTGTGTACTGTGTACTGAGCCTGTACATTACTGTGTACTGAGCCTGTACATTACTGTGTACTGTGTACTGAGCCTGTACATTACTGCGTACTGAGCCTGTACATTACTGTGTACTGAGCCTGTACATTACTGCGTACTGTGTACTGAGCCTGTACATTACTGTGTACTGAGCCTGTACATTACTGTGTACTGAGCCTGTACATTACTGCGTACTGCGTACTGAGCCTGTACATTACTGCGTACTGAGCCTGTACATTACTGTGTACTGCGTACTGAGCCTGTACATTACTGCGTACTGAGCCTGTACATTACTGTGTACTGTGTACTGAGCCTGTACATTACTGTGTACTGTGTACTGAGCCTGTACATTACTGTGTACTGAGCCTGTACATTACTGCGTACTGAGCCTGTACATTACTGCGTACTGAGCCTGTACATTACTGTGTACTGAGCCTGTACATTACTGCGTACTGTGTACTGAGCCTGTACATTACTGTGTACTGAGCCTGTACATTACTGTGTACTGAGCCTGTACATTACTGCGTACTGCGTACTGAGCCTGTACATTACTGTGTACTGCGTACTGAGCCTGTACATTACTGTGTACTGCGTACTGAGCCTGTACATTACTGTGTACTGTGTACTGAGCCTGTACATTACTGCGTACTGCGTACTGAGCCTGTACATTACTGTGTACTGTGTACTGAGCCTGTACATTACTGTGTACTGTGTACTGCGTACTTAGCCTGTACATTACTGTGTACTGCGTACTGAGCCTGTACATTACTGCGTACTGCGTACTGAGCCTGTACATTACTGCGTACTGAGCCTGTACATTACTGCGTACTGCGTACTGAGCCTGTACATTACTGCGTACTGAGCCTGTACATTACTGCGTACTGAGCCTGTACATTACTGCGTACTGAGCCTGTACATTACTGCGTACTGCGTACTGAGCCTGTACATTACTGCGTACTGTGTACTGAGCCTGTACATTACTGTGTACTGAGCCTGTACATTACTGCGTACTGTGTACTGAGCCTGTACATTACTGCGTACTGCGTACTGAGCCTGTACATTACTGCGTACTGTGTACTGAGCCTGTACATTACTGTGTACTGAGCCTGTACATTACTGCGTACTGTGTACTGAGCCTGTACATTACTGTGTACTGTGTACTGAGCCTGTACATTACTGCGTACTGAGCCTGTACATTACTGCGTACTGAGCCTGTACATTACTGCGTACTGAGCCTGTACATTACTGCGTACTGCGTACTGAGCCTGTACATTACTGCGTACTGAGCCTGTACATTACTGCGTACTGAGCCTGTACATTACTGCGTACTGTGTACTGAGCCTGTACATTACTGCGTACTGTGTACTGAGCCTGTACATTACTGTGTACTGAGCCTGTACATTACTGCGTACTGTGTACTGAGCCTGTACATTACTGTGTACTGCGTACTGAGCCTGTACATTACTGTGTACTGCGTACTTAGCCTGTATATTACTGTGTACTGCGTACTTAGCCTGTATATTACTGTGTACTGCGTACTGAGCCTGTACATTACTGTGTACTGCGTACTGAGCCTGTACATTACTGTGTACTGCGTACTGAGCCTGTACATTACTGTGTACTGCGTACTTAGCCTGTACATTACTGTGTACTGCATACTGAGCCTGTACATTACTATGTACTGAGCCTGTACATTACTGTGTACTGAGCCTGTACATTACTGTGTACTGTGTACTGAGCCTGTACATTACTGCGTACTGAGCCTGTACATTACTGTGTACTGAGCCTGTACATTACTGCGTACTGCGTACTTAGCCTGTACATTACTGTGTACTGCGTACTGAGCCTGTATATTACTGTGTACTGCGTACTGAGCCTGTATATTACTGTGTACTGCGTACTGAGCCTGTACATTACTGCGTACTGCGTACTGAGCCTGTACATTACTGCGTACTGTGTACTGAGCCTGTACATTACTGCGTACTGAGCCTGTACATTACTGTGTACTGCGTACTGAGCCTGTACATTACTGCGTACTGTGTACTGAGCCTGTACATTACTGCGTACTGAGCCTGTACATTACTGCGTACTGAGCCTGTACATTACTGTGTACTGTGTACTGAGCCTGTACATTACTGCGTACTGAGCCTGTACATTACTGCGTACTGAGCCTGTACATTACTGTGTACTGCGTACTGAGCCTGTACATTACTGCGTACTGTGTACTGAGCCTGTACATTACTGTGTACTGAGCCTGTACATTACTGCGTACTGTGTACTGAGCCTGTACATTACTGTGTACTGTGTACTGAGCCTGTACATTACTGCGTACTGAGCCTGTACATTACTGCGTACTGAGCCTGTACATTACTGCGTACTGAGCCTGTACATTACTGCGTACTGTGTACTGAGCCTGTACATTACTGCGTACTGCGTACTGAGCCTGTACATTACTGCGTACTGAGCCTGTACATTACTGCGTACTGCGTACTGAGCCTGTACATTACTGTGTACTGCGTACTGAGCCTGTACATTACTGTGTACTGCGTACTTAGCCTGTACATTACTGTGTACTGCGTACTGAGCCTGTATATTACTGTGTACTGCGTACTGAGCCTGTACATTACTGCGTACTGCGTACTTAGCCTGTACATTACTGCGTACTGTGTACTGAGCCTGTACATTACTGCGTACTGAGCCTGTACATTACTGTGTACTGCGTACTGAGCCTGTACATTACTGCGTACTGTGTACTGAGCCTGTACATTACTGCGTACTGTGTACTGAGCCTGTACATTACTGCGTACTGTGTACTGAGCCTGTACATTACTGTGTACTGTGTACTGAGCCTGTGTACTGAGCCTGTACATTACTGTGTACTGTGTACTGAGCCTGTACATTACTGTGTACTGTGTACTGAGCCTGTACATTACTGCGTACTGTGTACTGAGCCTGTACATTACTGTGTACTGTGTACTGTGTACTGAGCCTGTACATTACTGTGTACTGTGTACTGAGCCTGTACATTACTGCGTACTGCGTACTGAGCCTGTACATTACTGCGTACTGAGCCTGTACATTACTGTGTACTGAGCCTGTACATTACTGTGTACTGTGTACTGAGCCTGTACATTACTGTGTACTGTGTACTGAGCCTGTACATTACTGTGTACTGTGTACTGAGCCTGTACATTACTGCGTACTGTGTACTGAGCCTGTACATTACTGCGTACTGCGTACTGAGCCTGTACATTACTGTGTACTGCGTACTGAGCCTGTACATTACTGTGTACTGTGTACTGAGCCTGTACATTACTGTGTACTGTGTACTGAGCCTGTACATTACTGCGTACTGCGTACTGAGCCTGTACATTACTGCGTACTGCGTACTGAGCCTGTACATTACTGTGTACTGTGTACTGAGCCTGTACATTACTGTGTACTGCGTACTGAGCCTGTACATTACTGCGTACTGCGTACTGAGCCTGTACATTACTGTGTACTGCGTACTGAGCCTGTACATTACTGTGTACTGCGTACTGAGCCTGTACATTACTGTGTACTGTGTACTGAGCCTGTACATTACTGCGTACTGAGCCTGTACATTACTGTGTACTGTGTACTGAGCCTGTACATTACTGTGTACTGTGTACTGAGCCTGTACATTACTGCGTACTGAGCCTGTACATTACTGTGTACTGAGCCTGTACATTACTGTGTACTGTGTACTGAGCCTGTACATTACTGCGTACTGTGTACTGAGCCTGTACATTACTGCGTACTGTGTACTGAGCCTGTACATTACTGTGTACTGTGTACTGAGCCTGTACATTACTGTGTACTGTGTACTGAGCCTGTACATTACTGTGTACTGTGTACTGAGCCTGTACATTACTGTGTACTGAGCCTGTACATTACTGTGTACTGTGTACTGAGCCTGTACATTACTGTGTACTGTGTACTGAGCCTGTACATTACTGCGTACTGTGTACTGAGCCTGTACATTACTGTGTACTGTGTACTGAGCCTGTACATTACTGTGTACTGTGTACTGAGCCTGTACATTACTGTGTACTGTGTACTGAGCCTGTACATTACTGTGTACTGTGTACTGAGCCTGTACATTACTGTGTACTGTGTACTGAGCCTGTACATTACTGTGTACTGTGTACTGAGCCTGTACATTACTGTGTACTGTGTACTGAGCCTGTACATTACTGTGTACTGTGTACTGAGCCTGTACATTACTGTGTACTGCGTACTGAGCCTGTACATTACTGTGTACTGTGTACTGAGCCTGTACATTACTGTGTACTGTGTACTGAGCCTGTACATTACTGCGTACTGCGTACTGAGCCTGTACATTACTGCGTACTGCGTACTGAGCCTGTACATTACTGTGTACTGCGTACTGAGCCTGTACATTACTGTGTACTGTGTACTGAGCCTGTACATTACTGTGTACTGTGTACTGAGCCTGTACATTACTGTGTACTGCGTACTGAGCCTGTACATTACTGTGTACTGTGTACTGAGCCCGTACATTACTGTGTACTGTGTACTGAGCCTGTACATTACTGCGTACTGAGCCTGTACATTACTGTGTACTGAGCCTGTACATTACTGTGTACTGTGTACTGAGCCTGTACATTACTGTGTACTGAGCCTGTACATTACTGTGTACTGTGTACTGAGCCTGTACATTACTGTGTACTGAGCCTGTACATTACTGTGTACTGTGTACTGAGCCTGTACATTACTGTGTACTGTGTACTGAGCCTGTACATTACTGTGTACTGTGTACTGAGCCTGTACATTACTGTGTACTGTGTACTGAGCCTGTACATTACTGCGTACTGAGCCTGTACATTACTGTGTACTGTGTACTGAGCCTGTACATTACTGTGTACTGTGTACTGAGCCTGTACATTACTGTGTACTGTGTACTGAGCCTGTACATTACTGTGTACTGTGTACTGAGCCTGTACATTACTGCGTACTGTGTACTGAGCCTGTACATTACTGCGTACTGTGTACTGAGCCTGTACATTACTGCGTACTGTGTACTGTGTACTGAGCCTGTACATTACTGTGTACTGTGTACTGTGTACTGAGCCTGTACATTACTGTGTACTGTGTACTGTGTACTGAGCCTGTACATTACTGCGTACTGAGCCTGTACATTACTGTGTACTGAGCCTGTACATTACTGTGTACTGAGCCTGTACATTACTGTGTACTGTGTACTGAGCCTGTACATTACTGCGTACTGTGTACTGAGCCTGTACATTACTGTGTACTGTGTACTGAGCCTGTACATTACTGTGTACTGTGTACTGAGCCTGTACATTACTGTGTACTGTGTACTGAGCCTGTACATTACTGTGTACTGTGTACTGAGCCTGTACATTACTGTGTACTGTGTACTGAGCCTGTACATTACTGCGTACTGTGTACTGAGCCTGTACATTACTGTGTACTGCGTACTGAGCCTGTACATTACTGTGTACTGCGTACTGAGCCTGTACATTACTGTGTACTGTGTACTGAGCCTGTACATTACTGCGTACTGCGTACTGAGCCTGTACATTACTGCGTACTGCGTACTGAGCCTGTACATTACTGTGTACTGTGTACTGAGCCTGTACATTACTGTGTACTGTGTACTGAGCCTGTACATTACTGTGTACTGTGTACTGAGCCTGTACATTACTGTGTACTGTGTACTGAGCCTGTACATTACTGTGTACTGTGTACTGAGCCTGTACATTACTGTGTACTGTGTACTGAGCCTGTACATTACTGCGTACTGAGCCTGTACATTACTGTGTACTGAGCCTGTACATTACTGTGTACTGAGCCTGTACATCCTCCCCTCGTCTATTGGTTACTGATTAGTGCTCTGGGTTCAGGTCTTGCAGAGTCCGTGGTGGCAGCAGCCTTCTCCAGAGTGGGTCAGAGAGTCCTTCATGTGGACAGGTGAGTGTTGAAACACCTGTTCAGTCATGTGACCTGCAGGTCGTCATGGTGATGGTGAAACACCTGACAGGTGAGGCTCCTGTGTTTCAGGAGGAGTTACTACGCCGCCAGCTGGGCCAGCTTCACCTTCAGCGGCCTGCTCACCTGGATCCAGCAGCACCAGGTGAGTACAGCGCCGCCGAGCATGATGGGAGAACATGTTGATCAGGTGGAGTAACCTGTGTGTGTCTGGTAGGAGGAGTCTCAGCCAGAGGAGGATCAGGATTGGTCGAGCCTGTTGGAGGAAGGGGAGGAGCTGATCTACCTGTCACACTCAGACCCTGCCTCCGTCAGTAACCTGCAGGTGTTCTGCTACACCAGGTAAACCTCTACCTCAGAGTCAGTGTCAGAGTCAGCCCAGGACGGTCTGCTTTAGCCCAGCTGCTGTGGTCCTGTTTGGTTCAGGATCCGGACCGACCCGGGCTGGTCTGCCCCCCCCCCCAGCAGGTAAACTCAGGTGACACCAGAAGTCTCTGATCAGCAGCTTCACAATAAAAGCTTTCCACTGGCGACCAGATGGGAAGCTTTTATTTTGAAGGAGCTGTAGGAAGTGAATAGCTTCAGTAGAGACAGGTGTAACCAGCCAGGTGTGGCCACCTGCAGCACACCTGCAGCACACCTGCAGCACACCTGCAGCACACCTGCAGCTCACCTGCAGCTCACCTGCAGCACACCTGCAGCTCACCTGCAGCTCACCTGCAGCACACCTGCAGCACACCTGCAGCTCACCTGCAGCACACCTGCAGCTCACCTGCAGCTCACCTGCAGCACACCTGCAGCACACCTGCAGCTCACCTGCAGCTCACCTGCAGCACACCTGCAGCACACCTGCAGCTCACCTGCAGCACACCTGCAGCACACCTGCAGCTCAGGTGTTCTTCCACTTATTAATGTTCTCAGTGAGGAAGACGAGGAGGAAGCTCCGAGTGCTGATCCTCCAAACACGACAGAAGAAGAAGCAGCAGGAGGAGCTGAAGAAGACGCCACCAAAGAAACTCCGGAGACAGAAAGTGCAGGTTAGAATCTGATCAGGTCTTGATCCTCATCAGGTCTTGATTGTTCACTAAAACCGTCAGATTTAATAAACGCCACATTAGTCTGATGGTTTCCTGTTTCTTTATTCCAGATTCAGTGGAAGACGAGAAGGAGGCGGAGCCAGAGGAAGAGCAACAGGTGAGCAGGAAGGATCAATAAAGGATCAGTTATCATCCAAAATATTTATTAGCCCACGATGTGCAGCAGCTGATCACAGCTCTGAATTATGGGTAATCTGCGGTAGTGACGGATAACAGACAGATCTTTCGTCCAATCACACAGGTCTCCCAGACAGAGGGGGAGGAGCCAGAGGCAGGTCAACCAACTCCCTCTGCCGCTCTTAGCCAATCGGAGCCAACCAGGAAGAAGATCAGCTACGCTCAGCTGGTGAAGGAAGGACGCCGCTTCAACATCGACCTGGTCTCCAAGGTAACGCCATGTTATATTAGTGTTTATAAGTGATGTCATCATAATAATGTGCTGCTACGTAACATAATGACGTCACATGGTATAAGTGATGTCGATAAACGACATCATCAGATGAACAGCTGGGAGTTTCTTCTTCTTCCAGCTCATGTATTCTCGCGGCTCATTGGTCGATCTGCTCATTAAGTCAAACGTCAGTCGCTACGCAGAGTTCAAGAACGTCACCAGGATCCTCACCTACCGTCACGGGAAGGTGGAACAGGTGTGTACGACCCCGCCTCTGTTTACACCTGTCTGTCTCTCTGTTGACCTGTCTGTTTACCTGTCTGTCCCTCACCTGTCTGTCTCTCTGTTGACCTGTCTGTTTACCTGTCTCTCCCTCACCTGTCTGTCTCTCTGTTGACCTGTCTGTTTACCTGTCTGTCTCTCTGTTGACCTGTCTCTATGTTGACCTGTCTGTTTACCTGTCTCTCCCTCACCTGTCTGTCTCTCTGTTGACCTGTCTCTCTGTTGACCTGTCTGTTTACCTGTCTCTCCCTCACCTGTCTGTCTCTCTGTTGACCTGTCTGTTTACCTGTCTGTCTCTCTGTTGACCTGTCTCTCTGTTGACCTGTCTCTCCCTCCTCACCTGTCTGTTTACCTGTCTCTCCCTCCTCACCTGTCTGTCTCTCTGTTGACCTGTCTCTCTGTTGACCCGTCTCTCTGTCTCTCTGTTGACCTGTCTCTCTGTTGACCCGTCTCTCTCTCCCTCACCTGTCTGTCTCTCTTTTGACCTGTCTCTCTGTTGACCTGTCTCTCCCTCCTCACCTGTCTGTTGACCTGTCTCTCCCTCCTCACCTGTCTGTTTACCTGTCTGTCTCTCTGTTTACCTGTCTGTCTCTCCCTCCTCACTTGTCTGTTTACCTGTCTCTCCCTCACCTGTCTGTCTCTCTGTTGACCTGTCTGTCTCTCTGTTGACCTGTCTCTCTCTCCCTCACCTGTCTGTCTCTCTGTTGACCTGTCTGTTTACCTGTCTCTCCCTCACCTGTCTGTCTCTCTGTTTACCTGTCTGTTTACCTGTCTCTCCCTCACCTGTCTGTCTCTCTGTTGACCTGTCTCTCTCTCCCTCACCTGTCTGTTTACCTGTCTCTCCCTCACCTGTCTGTTTACCTGTCTCTCCCTCACCTGTCTGTTTACCTGTCTCTCTCCCTCACCTGTCTTTCTCTCTGTTTACCTGTCTCTCTCCCTCACCTGTCTGTCTCTCTGTTGACCTGTCTCTCTCTCCCTCACCTGTCTGTTTACCTGTCTCTCTCCCTCACCTGTCTTTCTCTCTGTTGACCTGTCTCTCTCTCCCTCACCTGTCTGTTTACCTGTCTCTCCCTCACCTGTCTGTCTCTCTGTTGACCTGTCTCTCTCTCCCTCACCTGTCTGTTTACCTGTCTCTCCCTCACCTGTCTGTTTACCTGTCTCTCTCCCTCCTCACCTGTCTTTCTCTCTGTTGACCTGTCTCTCTCTCCCTCACCTGTCTGTTTACCTGTCTCTCCCTCACCTGTCTTTCTCTCTGTTGACCTGTCTCTCTCTCCCTCACCTGTCTGTTTACCTGTCTCTCCCTCACCTGTCTGTCTCTCTGTTTACCTGTCTCTCTCCCTCCTCACCTGTCTGTCTCTCTGTTGACCTGTCTCTCTCTCCCTCACCTGTGTGTCTCTCTGTTGACCTGTCTGTTTACTTGTCTCTCTCCCTCACCTGTCTGTCTCTCTGTTTACCTGTCTCTCTCACCTGTCTGTCTCTCCCCCTCACCTGTCTGTCTGTTGACCTGTCTCTCTCCCTCACCTGTCTGTCTCTCTGTTGACCTGTCTCTCTCTCCCTCACCTGTCTGTTTCTCTGTTGACCTGTTTGTTTACCTCTCTCTCCCTCCTCACCTGTCTGTCTCTCTGTTGACCTGTCTCTCTCTCCCTCACCTGTCTGTTTACCTGTCTCTCCCTCACCTGTCTGTCTCTCTGTTGACCTGTCTCTCTCCCTCACCTGTCTGTTTACCTGTCTCTCTCCCTCACCTGTCTGTCTCTCTGTTGACCTGTCTCTCTCTCCCTCACCCGTCTGTTTACCTGTCTCTCCCTCACCTGTCTTTCTCTCTGTTGACCTGTCTCTCTCTCCCTCACCTGTCTGTCTCTCTGTTGACCTGTCTCTCTCTCCCTCACCTGTCTGTTTACCTGTCTCTCCCTCACCTGTCTGTTTACCTGTCTCTCTCTCCCTCACCTGTCTGTTTACCTGTCTCTCTCCCTCACCTGTCTTTCTCTCTGTTGACCTGTCTCTCTCTCCCTCACCTGTCTGTTTACCTGTCTCTCTCCCTCCTCACCTGTCTTTCTCTCTGTTGACCTGTCTCTCTCTCCCTCACCTGTCTGTTTACCTGTCTCTCCCTCACCTGTCTGTCTCTCTGTTGACCTGTCTCTCTCTCCCTCACCTGTCTTTCTCTCAGGTGCCCTGCAGCAGAGCGGATGTGTTTGCGAGTCGTCAGCTGTCGATGGTAGAAAAGAGGAAGTTGATGCGTTTCCTCACTTCCTGTGTAGAGGAGACGGAGGAGCAGCGGGGTGAGACACCTGCAGACATCATCAGTTGAGACACCTGTCCCCACCTACATATTTAACATAATCTATCAGGCCTCGCTGTGCATTGTGGGTAATGAAGTCCTTTATCCCTCCAGCCTACAACGGTCGGCCATATTTGGAATTCCTGTGTGACCAGCAGCTTGGTGACAACCTGCAGCACTTCCTGCTTCACTCCATTGCCATGGTAACAGAAGACACGCCCACAGAGGTGGGCCTCGCCTCCACACGTCACTTTTTGCGCTGCCTGGGTCGCTATGGCAACACACCCTTCCTGTTTCCTGTCTACGGCCTCGGAGAGATACCCCAGTGTTTCTGTAGGTGAGGACCTGTCTTACCTGTCTGTCTGTCTACCTGCCTACAGTGTCTCTCAGAGTTCACCCCTCACATCTTTGTAAATATCTGATTATATCTTTTCATGTTTCAACACAGAAGAAATTACCCTTTGCTCCAATGTAAAGTAGTGAGTGTGCAGTTTGGGCCCAATTTGGACATTTTCACTGAGGGGTGTCCTCACTTTAGTTGCCAACGGTTTAGACATTAATGGCTGTGTGATGTGTTATTTTGAGGAGACAGCAGATTTACACTGTTATACAAGCTGCACTACTTTACACTGTTATACAAGCTGCACGCTCACTACTTTACACCGTTATACATGCTGTACGCTCGCTACTTTACACTGTTATACAAGCTGTACGCTCACTACTTTACACTGTTATACAAGCTGTACGCTCACTACTTTACACTGTTATACAAGCTGCACTACTTTACACTGTTATACAAGCTGCACGCTCACTACTTTACACTGTTATACAAGCTGTACGCTCACTACTTTACACTGTTATACAAGCTGCACTACTTTACACTGTTATACAAGCTGCACTACTTTACACTGTTATACAAGCTGTACGCTCACTACTTTACACTGTTATACAAGCTGCACTACTTTACACTGTTATACAAGCTGCACGCTCACTACTTTACACCGTTATACATGCTGTACGCTCGCTACTTTACACTGTTATACAAGCTGCACGCTCGCTACTTTACACTGTTATACAAGCTGCACGCTCACTACTTTACACTGTTATACAAGCTGTACGCTCACTACTTTACACTGTTATACAAGCTGTACGCTCACTGTACGCTCACTACTTTACACTGTTATACAAGCTGCACTACTTTACACTGTTATACAAGCTGCACGCTCACTACATTACACTGTTATACAAGCTGTACGCTCACTACTTTACACTGTTATACAAGCTGCACTACTTTACACTGTTATACAAGCTGCACTACATTACACTGTTATACAAGCTGTACGCTCACTACTTTACACTGTTATACAAGCTGCACTACTTTACACTGTTATACAAGCTGCACGCTCACTATTTTACACCGTTATACATGCTGTACGCTCGCTACTTTACACTGTTATACAAGCTGTACGCTCACTACTTTACACTGTTATACAAGCTGTACGCTCACTACTTTACACTGTTATACAAGCTGTATGCTCACTACATTACACTGTTATACAAGCTGTACGCTCGCTACTTTACACTGTTATACAAGCTGTACGCTCACTACTTTACACTGTTATACAAGCTGTACGCTCACTACTTTACACTGTTATACAAGCTGCACTACTTTACACTGTTATACAAGCTGCACGCTCACTACATTACACTGTTATACAAGCTGTACGCTCACTACTTTACACTGTTATACAAGCTGTACGCTCACTACTTTACACTGTTATACAAGCTGTACTCTCACTACTTTACACTGTTATACAAGCTGCACGCTCACTACTTTACGCTGTTATACAAGCTGCACGCTCACTACTTTACACTGTTATACAAGCTGTACGCTCGCTACTTTACACTGTTATACAAGCTGTACGCTCACTACTTTACACTGTTATACAAGCTGTACGCTCACTACTTTACACTGTTATACAAGCTGCACTACTTTACACTGTTATACAAGCTGCACGCTCACTACTTTACACTGTTATACAAGCTGTACGCTCACTACTTTACACTGTTATACAAGCTGTACGCTCACTACTTTACACTGTTATACAAGCTGCACTACTTTACACTGTTATACAAGCTGCACGCTCACTACTTTACACTGTTATACAAGCTGTACGCTCACTACTTTACACTGTTATACAAGCTGCACGCTCACTATTTTACACCGTTATACATGCTGTACGCTCGCTACTTTACACTGTTATACAAGCTGTACGCTCACTACTTTACACTGTTATACAAGCTGTACGCTCACTACTTTACACTGTTATACAAGCTGTATGCTCACTACATTACACTGTTATACAAGCTGTACGCTCGCTACTTTACACTGTTATACAAGCTGTACGCTCACTACTTTACACTGTTATACAAGCTGTACGCTCACTACTTTACACTGTTATACAAGCTGCACTACTTTACACTGTTATACAAGCTGCACGCTCACTACATTACACTGTTATACAAGCTGTACGCTCACTACTTTACACTGTTATACAAGCTGTACGCTCACTACTTTACACTGTTATACAAGCTGCACGCTCACTACTTTACACTGTTATACAAGCTGCACGCTCACTACTTTACACTGTTATACAAGCTGCACGCTCACTACTTTACACTGTTATACAAGCTGTACGCTCACTACTTTACACTGTTATACAAGCTGTACGCTCACTACTTTACACTGTTATACAAGCTGTACGCTCACTACTTTACACTGTTATACAAGCTGCACTACTTTACACTGTTATACAAGCTGTACGCTCACTACATTACACTGTTATACAAGCTGTACGCTCACTACTTTACACTGTTATACAAGCTGCACGCTCACTACTTTACGCTGTTATACAAGCTGTACGCTCACTACTTTACACTGTTATACAAGCTGCACGCTCACTACTTTACGCTGTTATACAAGCTACACGCTCACTACTTTACACTGTTATACAAGCTGCACTACTTTACACTGTTATACAAGCTGCACGCTCACTACTTTACACTGTTATACAAGCTGTACGCTCACTACTTTACACTGTTATACAAGCTGTACGCTCACTACTTTACACTGTTATACAAGCTGCACGCTCACTACTTTACACTGTTATACAAGCTGTACGCTCACTACTTTACACTGTTATACAAGCTGCACGCTCGCTACTTTACACTGTTATACAAGCTGCACGCTCACTACTTTACACTGTTATACAAGCTGTACGCTCACTACTTTACACTGTTATACAAGCTGTACGCTCACTACTTTACACTGTTATACAAGCTGTACGCTCGCTACTTTACACTGTTATACAAGCTGCACGCTCGCTACTTTACACTGTTATACAAGCTGCACGCTCACTACTTTACACTGTTATACAAGCTGCACGCTCACTACTTTACACTGTTATACAAGCTGTACGCTCACTACTTTACACTGTTATACAAGCTGTACGCTCACTACTTTACACTGTTATACAAGCTGTACGCTCGCTACTTTACACTGTTATACAAGCTGCACGCTCGCTACTTTACACTGTTATACAAGCTGTACGCTCGCTACTTTACACTGTTATACAAGCTGCACGCTCGCTACTTTACACTGTTATACAAGCTGTACGCTCGCTACTTTACACTGTTATACAAGCTGTACGCTCGCTACTTTACACTGTTATACAAGCTGCACGCTCGCTACTTTACACTGTTATACAAGCTGTACGCTCGCTACTTTACACTGTTATACAAGCTGTACGCTCACTACTTTACACTGTTATACAAGCTGTATGCTCACTACTTTACACTGTTATACAAGCTGTACGCTCACTACTTTACACTGGAGCAAATTGTAATTTCTTCAGTGTTGAAACATGGAAAGATAGAATCAGATATTTACAGAAATGTGAGGTGTGGACTTAAATGTAGTAATAACAGCAGGTAGCTGTGTTGTTTAACTACAGGAAGTGTTCACGTCCTTCAGTGACAGAAGGAGTTCACAGAGCTGGATGTGGAAATGAGTGTTTTCTGGTTTAAATAAACGTTCACATGTTTGTTCCTCAGCAGTATAATGTTGATCTGCTGCAGGGATATCACTACAACCTTACTACTGATAGTACTGTTTTATGCTACTACTGTGTCTAGTACTTCTACAACTACTACTACTGCTGTTACTACTGCTACAAGTAGTGCTGCTCAAACTACCACTGTATTACTACTGTGTACTGTTGTGGGCGGCTCAAGAGGTAGAGCGGGTTGTCGGTTAATCGGAAGGTTGGCGGTTCAATCCCTGGCAAGACACTCCAAATTGACCTGGTGGCTGTTCCACCAGTGTATGAATCTTAGGATCAGTGCATGAATGTGTGTGATTGGTGAATGCAATGTAGTAAAAGTGCTTTGAGTGGTCGAAAAGACTACACAAATACGGAATATGCATATACATGTTGTGCCGCTACTACTTCAATTCCTATATGTCAGTACTGCATTAGTACCCCAGCTGAATGTACTGCAGTAGTACTTCATGAAGTACCACCAGCCACTCGTTGACGTCTGTAGTTTCCAGAGGCAGATCAGTTGGTTGTCATGGTGACCGCTACTGTCTCATCAGACCTGATCATGAATATTAATGTGGAGGGTGTCGCCCAGGGCTCGTCTCATTTACATATTAGATGATACTCAGCGGATATTACTGCTCAGCTGAGACACGCTAACACACACACGCTAACACACACACACCTTTTGAGCTGATCAGAAACCGTGCTGCTGCGTTCTGAACCAGTTTCACTGCACAAGCTGGAAGAGCTGCCGGGAGGGGCTGCTGTTCAATCTCACGGGACAGAAACTTCTGCACACACACCTGACCTGACGTGGACACACACACCTGACCTGACCTGACGTAGACACACACACCTGACCTGACCTGACGTAGACACACACACCTGACCTGATGTGGACACGCACACCTGACCTGACGTGGACACACACACCTGACCTGACGTGGACACACACACCTGACCTGACCTGACGTAGACACACACACCTGACCTGACCTGACGTAGACACACACACCTGACCTGACCTGACGTGGACACACACACCTGACCTGACCTGACGTGGACACACACACCTGACCTGATGTGGACACACACACCTGACCTGACGTGACGTGGACACACACACACCTTACCTGACCTGATCTGACGTGGACACACACACCTGACCTGACCTGACGTGGACACACACACCTGACCTGACCTGATGTGGACACGCACACCTTTGAAGTGGACACACACACCTGACCTGACGTGACGTGGACACACACACACCTTACCTGACCTGACGTGGACACACACACCTGACCTGACCTGACGTGGACACACACACCTGACCTGATGTGGACACACACACCTGACCTGACGTGACGTGGACACACACACACCTGACCTGACCTGACGTGGACACACACACCTGACCTGACGTGGACACACACACCTGACCTGATGTGGACACACACACCTGACCTGACGTGACGTGGACACACACACACCTTACCTGACCTGACCTGACGTGGACACACACACCTGACCTGACCTGACCTGACGTGGACACACACACCTGACCTGACGTGGACACACACACACCTGACCTGACGTGGACACACACCTGACCTGACCTGACGTGGACACACACACCTGACCTGACGTGGACACACACACACCTGACCTGATGTGGACACACAAACCTGACCTGACCTGACGTGGACACACACACCTGACCTGACGTGGACACACACACCTGACCTGACCTGACGTGGACACACACACACCTGACCTGACCTGACCTGACGTGGACACACACACACCTGACCTGACGTGGACACACACACCTGACCTGACGTGGACACACACCTGACCTGACCTGACGTGGACACACACACCTGACCTGACGTAGACACACACACCTGACCTGATGTGGACACACACACACCTGACCTGACGTGGACACACACCTGACCTGACCTGACGTGGACACACACACCTGACCTGACGTAGACACACACACCTGACCTGACGTGACGTGGACACACACACACCTGACCTGACCTGACGTGGACACACACACCTGACCTGACCTGACGTGGACACACACACCTGACCTGACCTGACCTGACGTGGACACACACACCTGACCTGACCTGACCTGACGTGGACACACACACCTGACCTGACCTGACGTGGACACACACACCTGACCTGACCTGACCTGACGTGGACACACACACACCTGACCTGACCTGACGTGGACACACACACACCTGACCTGACCTGACGTGGACACACACCTGACCTGACCTGACGTGGACACACACACCTGACCTGACCTGACGTGGACACACACACACCTGACCTGACCTGACGTGGACACACACACACCTGACCTGACCTGACGTGGACACACACACCTGACCTGACCTGACCTGACGTGGACACACACACACCTGACCTGACCTGACGTGGACACACACACACCTGACCTGACCTGACGTGGACACACACACACCTGACCTGACCTGACCTGACGTGGACACACACACCTGACCTGACCTGACGTGGACACACACACCTGACCTGACGTGACGTGGACACACACACCTGACCTGACCTGACGTGGACACACACACCTGACCTGACCTGACCTGACGTGGACACACACACCTGACCTGACCTGACGTGGACACACACACACCTGACCTGACCTGACCTGACGTGGACACACACACCTGACCTGACCTGACGTGGACACACACACTTGACCTGACCTGACGTGGACACACACACTTGACCTGACCTGACGTGGACACACACACCTGACCTGACCTGACGTGGACACACACACACCTGACCTGACCTGACGTGGACACACACACCTGACCTGACCTGACGTGGACACACACACCTGACCTGACCTGACGTGGACACACACACCTGACCTGACCTGACCTGACGTGGACACACACACCTGACCTGACCTGACCTGACGTGGACACACACACACCTGACCTGACGTGGACACACACACCTGACCTGACCTGACGTGGACACACACACACCTGACCTGACCTGACCTGACGTGGACACACACACCTGACCTGACCTGACCTGACGTGGACACACACACCTGACCTGACCTGACGTGGACACACACACACCTGACCTGACGTGGACACACACACACCTGACCTGACCTGACGTGGACACACACACACCTGACCTGACGTGGACACACACACACCTGACCTGACCTGACGTGGACACACACACACCTGACCTGATGTGGACACACACACACCTGACCTGACCTGACGTGGACACACGTGTGTGTGTTGTAATTTCCCTTTGTCTCTACAGTTAATGCTTTGTTTTCTTTTCACCAAGGACACACACTGTAATTAACACACGAAGACAGATCGCTGTATGTCATCAGTGTGTGTGAGACTGTGATTTATGAAGTGAGCTGAAATTTCATTATGTTATTAAGTAGGGGGGGGGGAACCACAGCTGACTGTGATTGGCTGAAACATCTGTCAATTAAGGCAGCCATTAAAGAGGTGGTGTTATGCTTTTTGGCTTTTTCCCTCTCCTTTATTGAGTTATTAACCTCCCGAGAGGGGAGAGAGGGAGGGAGGGAGAGAGGGAGGGAGAGAGAGAGGGGAGGGAGAGAGAGAGGGGAGGGAGAGAGAGAGGGAGAGAGAGGGGGAGGGAGAGAGAGGGGGAGGGAGAGAGAGGGGAGGGAGAGAGAGAGGGGGAGGGAGAGAGAGAGGGAGGGAGAGGAGAGAGAGAGGGAGGGAGAAGGGAGGGGGAGGGAGAAGGGAGGGAGAGGGAGGGAGAAGGGAGGGAGAGGGAGGGAGAGGGAGAGAGGGGAGGGAGAGAGGGAGAGGGAGAGAGAGGGGAGAGAGGGAGGGAGAGGGGAGAGGGAGGGAGAGGGGAGAGGGAGGGAGGGGAGGGAGAGGGGGAGAGAGAGGGAGAGAGAGAGGGAGAGAGAGAGGGAGAGAGAGAGAGGGAGAGGGGAGGGAGAGGGGAGGGAGAGGGAGAGAGGGAGGGAGAGGGAGAGAGAGAGGGAGAGAGAGAGAGGGAGAGGGAGAGAGAGAGGAGAGAGAGAGAGGGAGAGGGGAGGGAGAGGGAGAGGGGAGGGAGAGAGAGAGAGAGAGAGGGCGAGAGAGAGAGAGGGGAGGGAGGCAGCCTACACAATATCCACACAGAGGTACAGACAGTAAAGGTGATGTTGCTATAGACTAAATGAAAAATGGTACAGATATTTATAATAGTGTTAATGATAACAATCGTAATGTTAATGATTATAATAACAATAATAACAATAGCAACAATAGACCGAGCCGGTCGGCAACACGTACGGCTGAACCCGAGCCGTTTACCGGCTTCTCGCCGACCCGCCCTTCTCTGCTTCTGATTGGCTAGTAGTCCTTAATTAGGAACTGAGCATGTGCAACTCCCAACAAAGATCATTTAGAGACAAGATGTATCACTCCATAGCTAAAACGAAGCCTTCAACACAGGCTGGAAAGAGGAGCTGCAGCAATGTGCAGTAGGACAAAAATATAACCATGGAAACCTGCTCTGAAACAACCTCTAAATAAGATTCTGAACCTGAGAGTGAGCAGAACACCACCTCTTTAACCCCACTCAGTATCTTTTTAATAGAACTTTCATTCTGAAAATCTGCACTCACATAACAGCTGATTTAACATTCACACCCATGGCCAAAAGTATGACACACCTGTTGCTTATTGGATGGTACTCTGACTCGCCTATTGCTGATTGGCTGATTCCTGTTGCTGTGTGTTTCAGGATGTGTGCTGTGTTCGGAGGAATCTACTGTCTGAGACACTCGATCAACTGTCTGCTGGTCGACAAGGACACCAACAGGTACAAATACTACTCACTATAGTACTGATGAGGGGTGGTGATGGAACAGTGGATAAGACACATGCCTTTGGTGTACGAGACCCAGGTTCGATTCCCACTGCAACACCTCCACCAATGTGTCCCTGAGCCCCTTAACTTAGCCCCTCGCTGCTCTTTAAAAAATGTGTTTTTCATCAGAGCGAGGACTAAAGCTAAATGAGTCAAATGTAATGAGAGTGTACTGCTGTTCAGAGTACTGATACTGCTGTTCAGAGTACTGATACTGCTGTTCAGAGTACTGATACTGCTGTTCAGAGTACTGATACTGCTGTTCAGAGTACTAATGCTGCTGTTCAGAGTACTGATACTGCTGTTCAGAGTACTAATGCTGCTGTTCAGAGTACTAATGCTGCTGTTCAGAGTACTGATACTGCTGTTCAGAGTACTAATGCTGCTGTTCAGAGTACTAATGCTGCTGTTCAGAGTACTGATACTGCTGTTCAGAGTACTAATGCTGCTGTTCAGAGTACTGATACTGCTGTTCAGAGTACTAATGCTGCTGTTCAGAGTACTGATACTGCTGTTCAGAGTACTGATACTGCTGTTCAGAGTACTGATACTGCTGTTCAGAGTACTAATGCTGCTGTTCAGAGTACTGATACTGCTGTTCAGAGTACTAATGCTGCTGTTCAGAGTACTAATGCTGCTGTTCAGAGTACTGATACTGCTGTTCAGAGTACTAATGCTGCTGTTCAGAGTACTGATACTGCTGTTCAGAGTACTAATGCTGCTGTTCAGAGTACTAATGCTGCTGTTCAGAGTACTGATACTGCTGTTCAGAGTACTAATGCTGCTGTTCAGAGTACTAATGCTGCTGTTCAGAGTACTGATGCTGCTGTTCAGAGTACTGATGCTGCTGTTCAGAGTACTGATACTGCTGTTCAGAGTACTGATACTGCTGTTCAGAGTACTGATACTGCTGTTCATAGTACTGATGCTGCTGTTCAGAGTACTGGTGTTACTACAGTAACCTGTCTGCCTGGTCATCTTAAACACAGGACACCTTTGGGCAGGTAAGAGACTGCAGCAGTAAACTTTGTGGACGAGCTAGACACACTGCTGTCTTCAGTCCTAGATCATGACTGTCCGTTACTCGTCCTCGTTGACATGAACATTGACATATAGACTCCCCCACCTGCAAGCTGTCATCAGAATTCACCATTCACCATTTGTCAACCCCAGTCCTTAAAAAACCTGGTCTGGATCCCACTTCCCTTAATAACTACCGCCCAATATCCAACCTCCCCTTTCTGTCTAAAACCCTCGAACGTATAATCGCCTCACAATTACAAACTCATCTCCATGCCAATAACCAATTTGAACACTTCCAATCTGGTTTTCGCCCCCTCCACAGCACAGAAAATGCTCTCCTCAAAGTCTTCAATGACCTCCTCACTTCTGCTGACACTGGTTCCCTCAACATCCTTATTCTTCTTGACCTGAGTGCAGCCTTCGATACTGTGAGCCATAACATCCTGCTCACCAGACTCCAAGACCTTGGTATCGAAGGTACTGCACTCACCTGGCTCCGTTCCTACCTTTCCAACAGATCCCACTTCATCTCTCTTCATAACCACACCTCTGCTACAGTCACAGTCCCCCAAGGCGTTCCCCAAGGCTCCGTACTCGGCCCCCTTCTCTTCATCATCTACATCCTCCCCCTTGGTCAGATACTCCACCACTTCAACCTGAACTTCCACTGTTATGCCGATGACACCCAGATCTACCTCAGCACCAAATCCCCCCACAATCCCTCTCTCTCCCACATCAACTCCTGTCTGTTAGCGATTAAAACCTGGATGCAAAACAACTTCCTCAAACTAAACAGCAATAAAACAGAATTCCTCCTCATAGGCTCCAAATCCACTCTCAGCAAAGCCAATAACCCCACTCTCACCATCGACGGCACCATTGTCTCCCCATCTCCCCAGGCCTTCAACCTTGGTGTGATCTTTGATTCAACCCTCTCCCTTGAGCCCCACATCTGTCATGTCATTAAAACCTCCTTATTTCACCTTCGAAATATTGCCAAAATCAGACCCTCACTCACACCCTCTGCTGCTGAAAGACTCATTCACACCTTCACATCCTCACGGCTGGACTATTGCAACTCACTATTCCTTGGTATCAACTCAATCTACATAAAAAGACTCCAACTGGTCCAGAACTCTGCCCCACGACTCATCACCTGCTCCAAATCCTGGCACCACATCACTCCAGTCCTAAAACAACTACACTGGCTTCCCATTTCTCACCGGATCACATCCAAAATCCTGGTCCTTACCTACAAAGCCATTCACCACCAGGCCACTTCATACCTCACTGTCCTCCTCTCCCCCTACCAACCCTCACGGTCCCTCAGATTCACCTCAGCCGGTCTCCTCTACGTCCCCAAGTCCAAGCTCAGCAGTCTTGGGGAAAGAGCCTTTTCCAGGGCAGCTCCCAGGCTCTGGAACTCCCTCCCCCATGAGATCCACACCTCTGAGTCCCTCACCATTTTCCAGTCCCGCCTTAAGACCCATCTCTTCTCCTCTGCCTATCCCTAGCTGTTTTATTTTTTGTTTGTTTTTGTCATGTTTCTTTATCTGCTCTGTAAAGCGACTGAGTTCGTGAAAAGCGCTATACAAATTCAATTTATTATTATTATTATTATTAAACCCAGCAGACAGGTGTGACCTTCCTGAGCCCTGATTGGACGATAATTTATGACCAGTAAAATATTCAATTTATGGAGAGGAAATTAACATCATAATTTAACCTCCTCCTCCTCTGATAGATGACTCTCTCTCTCTCTCTGTCAGTCAGTGTCTCTCTGTCATTATTTGCTGCCTTGTCAGTTTCCTGATTAAATGACTGATTGATTGCACACAAGCGCGCACACACACACACACACACACACACACACTCAGGTGTTGCCATCACTTCTGAGGACATCGCATAGACTTGCATGTATTTCCTGGAGTCTCCACTCTGACACTTAGTGACCTGAGTAACACCAGGTCCTGCCGCTCAGCAGCCATCTTGGTAAGGCCTCCTGTTGGTTATCTGGGACCAGCAGAATCAGGTCTGTCTCTAAATGAATGGGCAGAGACATAGAACTGCTCTTTCACTGGTCAACAGGACATGAAACCTGCATGAATCAGCAGGAAAACCTGAAACGGTTTGATGACTTTGCCCTAAAATAAGGTTTAAAAAGTGTTCTTCCCCGCAGGTTATACTTCTGCTACACGTGTGTGGTAGACCCAGGGTCCAAAGTTAGCACCAGCTGGCAGATTTACCTCATCACTAGCCAACAAACAGTGGTAATCTTCTGAGTGGCTGACGGACTTTGAGCATTCACTAGCCACTGTTAGCGGCTCCCGTTAGCGGCTCCCGTTAGCAGCTCCCGTTAGCAGCTCCCGTTAGCAGCTCCCGTTAGCGGCTCCCTTTGACTGCTTCTGTTAGCCGCTCCCATTAGCCGCTCCCGTTAGCTGCTCCCGTTAGCTGCTCCCGTTAGCTGCTCCTGTATTTGGAAATGCTAACGATGCTAAAGCAGCAGTGAGACACACGAGGACCGCTCGCTGTGTGTGTGTGTGTGTGAGATGTTTATGTGTGTGTGTGACCTTCTAGTGCTGCTGGTGCACAGTGTGTGTCAGAGGTTATGGATGAGCTTTAGTGCGCATCATTATTCCCAATAATAGGTTTCAGCAGCGCTTCAGTTTGTGTGTGTGTGTGTGTGTGTGTGTGTGTGTGTGTGTGTCAGACACCCTTGGAGGCTGTGGTTTCTAGATCAATCACTTTCACATTGAAATAAAGATTTAATAGTGATCCTCAGATCGGAAAAAAAGGAACTCAGTTTGACTGACTGCAGGAAGCCGATGAGATCTAAAGTCAGCTGCAGCTCAGTAGAAACACGTATATCAGCAACACTTGTGATAAATGGTTCAAGTTTCTCTAAAGTAAATGTTGTTTCCTCAGTCTTTTTTCTCAGTGAACTGAATGTCTCGAACTGAAACGGAGATGAACATTATGTATGTGTGCGTATGTATGTGTGTATGTATGTATATATATATATATATATATCGGATATTAATCAGAAGAATAATGGGATCAGCAGGTAAAATAATTATTGTAGCAGTGTAGGTGAAGCAATTTCTTTTGCACCTCCCTTCTGTAGAATTAACGTTACTAAGCACTTCGTTTGTTTGCTTTACTAACCTCAGCTCCTCCGTGGTCACCACCGTCCAGTCACATGCAGCCGCAGGATAAAGTATGTGAACCTTTGGAACCACCTGGATTTCTGCTTAAATTGGTCATATAAAGTGATCTGAGTCCCAGCAACAGACAAACACAGTCTTAATACCACAAACAATTATATGTTTCCATGTTTTTATTGAACACACCGTGGAAATGGTCACAGTGCAGGCTGGAAACAGGATGTGAACCCTTGCATGGAATAACTGTAATAACCTCAACCAAACGTTTCCTGTAGCTGCAGATCCGACCTGAACAACGGTCATTAGGAAGTTTGGACCGTCCCTCTTTACAAATCTGTTTCAGTTCAGCAGTATTCTTGGGAGGTCTGGTGTGAACCGCTCTCTTGCCACAGCATCTCAATCGGGTTGAGGTCAGGACTCTGACTGGGCCACTCCAGAACGCGGACTTTGTTCTGCTGAAGCTGTTCTGTTGTTGATTTACTTCTTGTCCTGTTGCATCACCCATCTTATGTTGAGCTTCAGTTGGTGGGCTGAGGGCCTCAAATTCTCCTGCAAAATTTCTTATAAACTTTGGAATTCATGTTTCCATTGATGACAGCAACCCTTCCAGGCCCTGACCATGATGCCCCCTCCACCATACCTCACAGGTGGGATGAAGTTTTGATGTTGGTGTGCTGTGCTTCTTGTTTAGTGTTTGTTTTTTATAGGGCAGCTCTAACCAACACCAGTAATCTCATCTCACTGATTGGCTGACTCCTGACTCCATTTAGCTTTTAGAGAAGTCATTAGCCGAGGGGTTCCCATCCTGTTTCCACCCTGCACTGTGACTGTTAACGCGGTGTGTTCAGTAAAAACAAATAATGTGTGTGTGGTATTAGTCTAAGCAGACTGTGTTTGTCTGTTGTTGTGACTAGTGTTGTCACAATACTGGAATTTCTAACTTCAATAAAATACCTTGAAAAATACTACGACACGGTCGCTGGGTTTGATGCTGGAATTTGTGAGCGGGTTGTATTGAAGCTGAAAGGAGGTGTGAAGTTTCTATGAGGTGCTGATTGACACCCTGCTGATCCCCAAACACATCATGCAGTCCCACATACAATAAACATGTGGCCCTCAAGGCCCCTGAAAGCCTGTGGCCCGGGGCCACCAGGTGGTAATCCAGCCTTGAGCTGGACAAACAAGAACGCCCTTGTTGTCGGTTAAAGTTCCGTCTGGATCTGCGTACCTGTTGATCTTCTCTTCATCAGTGACATCATTCCCCTTCTTTCAGGTGTAAGGCGGTGATAGACAGTCGAGGACAGCGAATCAGCTGCAGCCATTTTGTGGTGGAGGACAGCTACGTGGGGGCGGAGCGGAAGAGGATGGCCACACCTGCCAGGTCAGGACCAACCAATCACCAACCAGGAAACTGTTTAACTTAGCAGCTACACAGGAAGCACCGACCATCATTAGCCATTTACCAACCTGAGCTCTCGATACAGAGGAGGGTCTGATGCTAACCTGTCTGTCTGTCTACATGTCTGTCTGTCTACCTGTCTGTCTACCTGTCTGTCTACCTGTCTGTCTACCTGTCTGTCTGTCTACATGTCTGTCTACATGTCTGTCTACATGTCTGTCTCTCAGGTTCCTCTCCAGAGCGGTTCTGATAACAGACAGCTCCGTTCTGCCCAGTAACTCAGACCAACAGGTAAATCATCATAATTAAACTTTTGTTCAATCTTTATTTGAAACCTTCCAGGTGAGCAGCAGCAGCTCTGTGTGGTTTTAAGATCCACCTCGCTGGTGAAGCTCAGGTGAAGCTCAGGCGAGACTCAGGTGAAGCTCAGGTGAAGCTCAGGTGAGACTCAGGTGAAGCTCAGGTGAAGCTCAAGCGAGACTCAGGTGAGACTCAGGTGAAGCTCAGGTGAAGCTCAGGTGAGACTCAGGTGAAGTTCAGGTGAAGCTCAGGTGAAGCTCAGGTGAAGCTCAGGTGAAGCTCAGGCGAGACTCAGGTGAGACTCAGGTGAAGCTCAGGTGAAGCTCAGGCGAGACTCAGGCGAGACTCAGGTGAGACTCAGGTGAAGCTCAGGTGAGACTCAGGTGAAGCTCAGGTGGAGACTCAGGTGGAGACTCAGGTGAGACTCAGGTGAAGCTCAGGTGAGACTCAGGTGAAGCTCAGGCGAGACTCAGGTGAAGCTCAGGCGAGACTCAGGTGAGACTCAGGTGAAGCTCAGGTGAGACTCAGGTGAAGCTCAAGCGAGACTCAGGTGAAGCTCAAGCGAGACTCAGGTGAAGCTCAAGCGAGACTCAGGTGAAGCTCAGGTGAGACTCAGGTGAAGCTCAGGTGAGACTCAGGTGAAGCTCAAGCGAGACTCAGGTGAAGCTCAAGCAAGACTCAGGTGAAGCTCAGGTGAAGCTCAGGTGAGACTCAGGTGAAGCTCAGGTGTGAACTCCTCTTCTTTGGTCCCACAGTGACTTAAAACTTTGGTTTGCTGTTCTTTAGAGAGTTAGCTCACAATGCTAGTAGTGCTAATGAGCTGGTCAGAGGTCTGATCAGGAAGTTGAAGCTTCAGGCCAGAGGTCAGCGTGTCCTTCAGCCCCAGGGAATTATGGGAAGGAAACAGATCAGAGGAGACATGAAGTCAAAAAAGAGTCTTCATCTTCATCACACACAGTAACACACAGCTCACTAATGAGGTCGGAGTTAAATATTGAAGTATTGAATTAAGTTTGGTCGGAGAATTATGATGCTTCATAGATCTTCTGCTGTGTGTGTGTGTAGGCCTGCAGTGCTCCGTAATAAGATGGAGTTAATCTCTGAGGAGGTTTTTCCTTCATTAAAGACGTTCTACCTGTGTGTCTCGTCAGGTCTCCATGGTAACGGTTCCTCCAATAGCAGCAGGGAGCCCGGCGGTGAAGATGGTGGAGCTGTGTCCGTCCACGATGACCTGCATGCCTGGAACATGTGAGACGGTTTATATACGACGTCTCGGCGTCTCTCTCTGTCCTCCAGTGAATAACAACAACAACATTAATCATCACCATCTAATAAGCTCACAACTGAAATGATAATTGTAATTATTATAATTGCCTTTATGCTGTTACAGCGTTACAGGGTTAACTAACAGATACCAACTTTGTTGATTACTCACGTTAAGACAATATTATTTTGTTGAATTATGCAAATGAGGCAGTATTTAATGAAATATGTGCTAATTTGCATATATTTCAAGAAGTGAAATGTGAACTCTGGATGAAGTCGGGTTCAAAATGATTGTTTTATTTTGTCGACACATCAGACGGAGCCTGGATTTCTCTTTATTATTTCATAAACCAGACAACGCAGTCACGGACCTGTTCTGGTAATAAAGTGTTCCATAATCCCGGCTGTGAAGGATTTCTGAACAAACCTTCAGGGTACAGTCAGGAAGGAACAGCCTATTATCAACAACATTATGTCTCAAACAACAGTCTGACCTGCAGACGGCTAAACCAGGAAGTGTCCGAGCACATCACATGTCGCGTCTGAACCAATCGCCACCTTTCAGGAGAAACCTCCAGACAACCTGCAGGAAGACAAACTGGATGTTTTCCCTCTGTGGTCCGAGAGAAGACGTGGGTGCCGACACCTCTCAGCTGACCCGATCCTGATGAAACCATGGTTGTGTCTCCTCTCAGATCGTCTCTGGATCAACTTCAGCTCTCAGCCTCTCGGTT